TGTGCCTGGGCCCATAACCTGATGATTTTGAAAAAGAAAAGAAAAACAGTACTTTTTCTTAACCTTCGTCTTATTTATTTTCGGAGTTATTTTAACAATATTATATTATATACGTACAGCCTCGATAGAAGTGAAGCTTGAAAAAAAAAAAATATTGCCAACATTGACATTTAAATAACATGACGTTCACTCTTAGCACTGCAGCCAACAAAATAAACTAAAACTATGAATAAACATTGCTATACTTATAATACTTACCACTCGCCATTGTTTCTTAAATGTTAAGATGTATAACAGAAATAGTTGTACGGTAGGTGTTTAATAATAAACATGCCATAATAGTAACAACAAAACGGTGATAAAATGTGTACGATTAATGAGCTAGAGGCCCAGAAAATGACGTCATGTAGCTTTTTTTTTTTTTTTTTTTTAAGGGGGGAAAATCATCGAATGACTGCTCCCGCCTGGGTGAGGCGGAAGGGAGTGTCAGACTCTTACTGACTAAAAACCACCCCGTTCCTTCTCCTGCACGTCGAGCCGGAGCCCCGGTTACCCGTTAGGTTCTCCGCGACTCCGAATCGGCATCGGCCCTAATTGGGCCCCATCTGTGGTGGTCTGATGGCTCTTTGAGGCGCGCGCGGAACGCGACGCGCCGTACGCTCACGTCATGTAGCTAGCGTACAGGAGCACACTATAAGGAAGTCAACTGCTGATAATGCTTATTTCCAATTTTAATAATACGTCTCAAATCTGTCGATAGCTTTGGTTACTAAAAACTAAACGGTAAACGACCAGTCGGATCACCTGGTGGTAAGCAATCGGCGTCGCCCATGGACACCTGGAACACCAGAGGCGTTACAAGCGCGTTACCAGCCTTTTCGGGTTTAGAAATTTGAGGATTGTTGGGGATTGAGGGATTGGGGAGATTGGAGAAAGGGGGAGGTGTATCATAGGGCCTCCGGTAACCTCACTTACACGACGTGAAACAACGGTTGCGTTGGTTCACGTCGGTTTTCTGTGCGGCCGTAGTATCACTCCGGTCGAGCCAGCCCATTCGTGCCGAAGCATGGCTCTCCTAAGACTCTTGCTAGAAGCCAAACAAGCAGTTAGAAATAACTGACGTAAATAGGTGAAACCGCTTACATACATACGGTAGTCTAACTATTTATTTACAGCAAATATTGACCGTGACATTGGAAGATCAGCGGATACCGACAGATGCGAAGCCATGCGTCAGTGTACTTATGACGTCATCACAACGCATACGTCACGATAGATTTACTATATTTGAAGTATTACGCCATGATCGTATTATTCATTTACAATCACCTGCTAAATGGGATGTATCGATTTAAGATAAATTGTGTTGGAATTTCTGTGAATTATGCCAATAATTATTAAGGGTGTATGAGGCTACCTAGATATCGAAGTCATTACTTAAATGGTGTAAAAGTCGTATTTAAACGATCAGGGCCTCTAGCCAAACGCCACTTTAGCGCTTGTCTACAGAGAGAGTAGAAATCAAAATGTATGGGCATGGCACTGACGAGTGTCAAAATTTACGTCAATTCCATATAATTTGGTTTTCTATTCTACATGTAGACAAGCGCTAAATGGCATTTGGCTACAGCTGCTGAAGGTAAAGCAATTAGGTACTCGATAGCAAAGTCGATTGTGAAAAACATAGCAGATAGGTAATTCAAAAACAAACGTTTATAGGACGCAAATCGGCCATGCCCATGACATAGTTAACATGGCATATATTTTATCCCGACAACGTTTGAGTAAACGTGAAAAGATTAATCCGTAAGATTAAAAAAAAAACTATAAATGAAAGTAACATTATCACTCGGTCACTAATATTTCCCGAACAGATAGTCCTGCACTAGTAAATGTAACACCCACTATTTGGGAATTATCAGCTCAATGTAAAAACAACTTTTCACTAAACACTTAAAGCACAATTCCAGACTTAACTGGTTTGCCTGGTGACCCCCGAGATCTTTGACGCCGACAAAAGGTCTCGGGTCAGGCCGGCAACCACTCGAACACCAAAGCAGTCTCAAATAATAAACGTCTCCTGATAAGATAATGTCAATTTAATAACATATATCAATAATAACAAATTGTAAAATTGATACGATAATATAATCTAACCATTGTAGGTATCGATAAATTTAAATCCGAGTCAATAACTATAAACTTATCTCGTTTATCAGATTTATATCGCTTACGTTTTACAAATTAACAGTTGCTATCAAAAGTCGTTCAAATCTCCGATTATTTAAATCGATAAGATAATGTTATGTAAGAATTATGCAGTAAGGAAAGTTTTCTTAAGGAAAATGTACATTATATATTTTTGTTTTCTTTTAGTAATGTATGCGGCAGTTTTATTTTATTAACAGATTTGAGTACTGAACTTAAAGTGTTATGAAAAGCAATATAATTAGGTACACTTTTTTTTATTTTGAGTTTTTGGTTAAAATTAACATATCAAACCCATTGTTCCTTATAACTATTACCACATAGTACTGTCTTATCCTAGTTGTTTATAAATAATTACGAGGTCGTTGCTGGGTCTGCGGCACTAGCAAGTAAAACGCTTGTGCTATTTCTGATGCAGGCTCACTTAAAACATAACACTTACGCTTTGCAGTTAAAAATACCTCAAGAGACATTTTACTGAAGTTGATCGTTGAGGTATAGGATTTGTGTCGTCGATCGTCTATGTGCGTTATCTGACGTCTGTCATGAGTCATGTATCGCCACACATTCGTTAAATTGTTCGTGGATTTAAAAGTGTATTAACAAGTTTTACGTACTTATGTACAATTGTACAGTAACCCTGAACTGATATTTAACAGTATATAGTAGGTATTTACCTACTATATGCATTGCAGCTAAAAATATCTTATCTTTGATTTCCTTCTACTGAATAATCGCACAATAAAAATCACGTGAGTAATCAATAATCATAATAAAACCTGAAGGCATTTAATTATTTTATCTACTTATAATAATCAGGCGTCAATTGAATACATGTTGATATAATTAAAGTATTTTAATATGTAATTGTATCGAAATTATTAATCGATGTGCCGTTTTAATGCAACATCTCGACTTTATTACCTACTATTGTTTCATACAAATATGCTGTGCAGTTTAAATAGATTAAATAACGTTGTGAATTATTTACATTCATTGTTCTGCAGAGGACATTGGCATTGACATACAGCCAAAGTCGGTATTTATTTTTGTAGACGCATTTTTCAAACGTCAGAATAGAATCATCCCACAACTATTTTGACTTTGATAAGATGTATACCTACAGTTGTATGGGGCATACGTATATGTATGTCGTCGTGGTGGCCCGGAGGTTAAGACGCCCGCTTCTCATGCATGAGGGTGCAGGTTCGAAACCTACCAACGGCAGGTACCAATGTGATTTTTTCCGAGTTATATGTACTTTCTAAGATTATTTAGATACCACTGACAAACGGTAAAGGAAAACATCGTGAGGAAACCTGGACTTATAATTTCTAATCATTAGTTTGAAATCGCCAACCCGCAATGAGCAAGCGTGATGATTAATGCTCAACAAACCTTCTTCGTGTGAGAACAGGCTTTGCTCAGCAGTGGGCATTTATAGGCTGTTGATGATGATGATGTATGGGGCATATCTCATATGGTGTCAACATAATCTACATAACAGTCAACCCTAGTGTTTATTCTGGTACTTGTCTGAGGTGTTTTCATTTTTTTCATGGAATATGAGACAGACGGATCACCTGATGATAAGCGATCAGCGCCGCCCATGGCAACACCAGAGGAGCCACAGGTGCGTTGCCGGCCTTTTAAAAAGGAATATGCTCTATTCTTGAAGGTTTGAAGCTCGTATCGGTTCGGAAATAGGTCCCTTAGTAAAGCTAACTGCTGCTTTGACTTGGTCTCCGAAACTAGGTTTTATTAAAGAAGAACGGAACAACAAACTCTGTCATTACTCATTTCGATTCCAAAATCGATGGTTATTATACTAACCGCAATGTTAAAGATTTATAATAATGTATATTATATTTACAATAATAAATAATGTTAACTAAAAATCGCGGCTTATCAGCCAGCAGACTGCGCGACATGAACCTGTGGCGGCTTAGTAACCGCAAATTGCTGAGTTGCATTATTGTCGAAACCTGGGAGCGCGGGCGCTCGGCTCGCCAGTCGCGTACGTCACACCGCCCTGCCTCGACATCTACATAGTACGTAGTTAGTAATAACGAAGTATTGTGGAACCGAAATTAAAGACATTTATTTCATCAAAATACATTTTTCTTATTCACCAAATAGTACACAAGGACACGCACAACAAACCCCTTTGTTGTTCGAAACTAGTAGAGCTTTTCTCAGTATTTTCACGTGAGTGACTCGCCATTTTTAATTAATTCAGTATGTCTCACGATATTTATTACAAAAACAATAAATAATGTGTGCATTTACCTTATTTGTCTAAATGTAGAACACGTGAATTTGTACAGATAATAAATTTATTCGCACGTATCCAAATTCGAACACGGCACATGTTCTAAACTCAAGTACTTAGGTACCACATCAAATATTTGTATATTAATCTGATAACTCAAATAACTGTGATGTGTGTGATAACACAAAACTGATATTTACCTTAAGGGCTGATTAACAGTGGCAAGAGAAAATGGTATAAAGTTTCACTTAGACCGAATCTGGTATTTTTACATATCAAATAAATTATACTCGGCTCAAAAAAGTAGCGACCGTAGTCTATAAACGTCGATTTAACAAGTTACTATTATTTACCGACGTTCCTCGATCAGTTTCAAAGCACGCCGGGATCTATAACTACGAGCAACATGGCTAACCGATATGGTGTCACTCGTACGTTGCTGCCTTTACTGAAAGTATCAATATATGTGCGAACAGCTATGGGCATTAATATATAAAGTTAATGTAGAAATAAAACTTACCTGCAGTAAAGTATTTTGTCCGTATCTCTGAACGCAAGCTTCCATAAATTCGTCGATAAACTCATCGTACTCCTTGCCTCGGGCGCGCTTCTGTCTAAGACCAATGTACAACGGGTCCTCTAGAAGATCCTGAAAAAATCAACCTTATTAGCAAAGACATAAGGAGCACTTTTCTATAAGTGATTTTACTTGTAGTAGTAGCGTAGACTAATTCTGTTTTTGTATACTTAGCCTCTGCTAGACAAGATTTATCGTGAATGTAGGTGTTTCAGTTTACTATCGAACGAGGTCTTGTATTTTTCGTGATATTTCTTTATCAAAATCTCAAGAACACTTCAATATCAATCTTGAGGACTATTGCAACATTATTTACATTTGCATAGTAAATAAAATCATTGTACATAGTGTAAATAAAGTCTGCAGATGCAACGGAAACTCTACTCATGTATTGTGTCTCTTCACACAATATTAGCACAGATTTCAGTTGGACAAACATTACATTAATATCTATATCAAATATCTGATTTGCAAAAAAGAAGCATTCATTCATCAAAACCGCAAAATTACGAAGAAAATAAAATAAAACTTTAAGGAAACACTCTTATTTGTAGGTACTTACAACTACCTAAAATAATTATACCAAAAATAGACAGCGATTTTAACCTTGACATTCAGTCTATGCAAATTTTGTGTAAATAAACTGTACCTGATTATCGGTTCCCACGTCCAAAGTGATGGGTAGGCACTGGTGGGGCTTAATACCAGCCAGGGCAGTGTACAAGGAGAGTTTACCCACAGGAATACCCATGCCATAAGCCCCAAGGTCACCAAGGCCCAAAATCCTCTCTCCGTCAGTGAACACTATAGCGCGAACATCAGGTTCAGGCCTAAAAAATAAAGCCCGATTTAGATTACGTAATGTTTGGCATTGAAAACCGGCGATTCAACCGGTTTTGGCAAAAAATGAGACAATAAAACTTAACATTTATTTGAGCCGTGATGCGATGATGTAGTGACACGAAGATTCATTATTTATAAATAAGAGCTCGACTGTAGTTTTGGCGGTAAATTGGAGCTTCAGAAAATGTATGGCAAACAAATTGGCAGACGGAAACTTATAAAAAGAACGAAACTTAAAATAAACCTATCTAGCCATTGTGACCAAAAAAAACGTCTTTTCGGTCAAAACCAATACAAATAACCGACATTCGGATCTATTATAAAACCAAAACCTGTTACGATTGGAAATTATTCATAACAAGCTCTTGAAAGTGAAGTTCAAAATCAATTGATGAAGGAGCGATGAACGCGCGTATTGGCATAGATTAGTAACCATTATATTTTTATCATAGCATTATTTATAAGATCATGTTGATATCTTTTGCCAATATCCAAAGAGGTTCATTACTTTGTTTATTTGACTTTGATAGGTAATAAACAAACAAAATTGTTATGAAGAGAGATTGATGGTTTTAGCTCTAAAAAAAGGCCGTATAACCCACCCTGAGTGACTAAAATAGGTTGTGTGTCATACCTACTATGCTACTATAGTTTATTAGTCCGTCTTACTATAAGAATTGCCGATCGCGAAGGTCGTAAAACAAGAGAAACATTCGTATTGGTATATTTTACGTTCATTCACCGTTGTGTTTACTTGCTATACGATTATGCGAGTAACGCCCGAATACTGAAAGGTTACTCAATTATAAGTCGCGCTTATGTATAGTTCTGTCACTATAAATTGTTGTAAAATGACAGAGATGGCACGATATTTAAGAAAAACATAAAAATTTGAGCAATCTTTCATTATTCGGCGTAAGCTAGTTAAATATTGAAGAACGTTTTCGAAGGACTGTCCAGTCGGTCGAATGAGTTACTGAACAATTTATAATTCCCGAGTAGAGCAAAATACTACATAGCCTTTTTCGGTAGGTAACAGCACTGAGTCTGAGGACTTAGTATGAATTTGTTTTGAGTTTAACAAAATCGAAACGAGACCGCGTTTGGCGCTGTATGGTTAGTTCAATGGAGCCGGCTAATGGAATATCGCCAAATCTTTGGCAATAAGTTCACCCCCTATTAAATATAATTCTTAAGATTAATATGTGCCTAACTCTTAAAGGCGTGATATCACACTATGTTATTCATTTGAAGCATTTCTATTCGATTAAGAAATTGTTGCTTCATAGATGAAGGATAAAGTATTAATAATATCGAACGCCATTGTCGTAAAATAACATTGAATGTGCGTTGTTTAGGCATACCATTACTTACAATAGCGTAGTCTAACATTTTAATAATGCAAGCGATTTTGACCTTTGTCGTCCAATTTTAAGAGTACAAATAGAACAATCGATGGGTTAGTTTATTAATAATGAAATTATTTTGCTTTTAAGCACAGCTGAAATGTATGAAATGTAATACATTGATATGCTGTCTGCGTCTCAATTGACCAGGAAATTCGTCCCCATAGGAAACCGGCTTATCAATATTTTCCTCTAATAATACGTAGGTATGTCCTACTTTTTCTGTGCTAAATACACGTGCGAACGAACGCACGAACTGATCTGCACCTCTGTCGTGATAAAATGCCTAAAATGCGTTCATTCATATCATACATTAGTGTAACCATACGCTAGTAGTAAGTCTAGATTGCACATTACAAAGACGATACAACGACACTTTTGAGCCACTGTTCGGCGTCTATCAAGATTTTAAAATACCGAGACGTAGTTTAAGTGAGCGCTATCTATCGATTTTCCTCAGCCTTCGCCGGTCTAGGCCAATCTACGTTGACCTTTCCTTAGCATGTCTCAGGGTAATGCTTTTAAGAATAACTAAATATATATTTGAAGATAACTGCATAGTACTTTTAGTTTATTTACATATTATAAACGTCGATAAAATAGTCACACGTAACTCAATTTCACTTGAAGGAGAATGTTTTGATTGTCATCAATTTGTAGCCATAATAATGTAGGTGAACAGGACGAAAGTACTAATATTTAGGTTAGAACTGTTTAGTTCTATACAAAACTAATAAAGCTGCCCTTTAAGACATACAAATTAAAACTCACCAGTTTTTAAGAATGTTGAATATATGCCCCTTGTCGTTAATTGTGATGAAGAGGCCCCTAGGTCTTCTGTAGATGAGACCGAACCTCTGACACGCCAGTCCCACGGTGGGGGTGTACACAATCGGCAAATACTTCTCAATGTTCTCGGCCAAAAGCCTGAAGAACAACTTCTCATTTCTGTCCTGCAATAATTCAATAATATTATTAAAAACAATACTCTGAACTGTTTGTCTTCTCCTCATCATGAACTTATCCTAATAACAATTGCTTTTTAAATTCTTAATTTAAAACGGTACATAAATACCTGATGCTCTTCTCCAATTCAGACTTAAAAGTCAACTATAACTTAAAAGTCAATGAACCCCTTATTTCTCCTTTACAAGAGTATTATGACAATGTTATATTATACTTGAGTTTGAACTGGGCATTAGGCAACACACAATCGATATCATCATTCCAATAAAAGAAAAAACAATAATTTAAAGTGCACCATGGGAAAATACACTACGCAATCACATAGAACTGCTACAACTAATGACACTCATTAGAAAAATTACGCTCCAGAGCCATACAAACTTGATAGCTCAGCTCATAACAGCCCGATCTACATAATTGTACCAATCATCCAGTAATCAGCTCAAATAACACTAACGTTAAATGTTTAGAACCAAAACATGCTACACGAAATCCTCATACAACCTGTTGCAAAAAAATCACCACCAATTAGAAAACAGATCCACCCAATTTTTCAAAGATCCAGGTTATTTACTAGCAAAAAAACACGAAAAACGTACCTACCTATTTTCAGGGTTAAAGTCAAGTGCAAATATTAAACAAAGCAATAAAACTTCACACCAATAACTGTTGTCAGGTTCTTTTGTAACACCCCCATACCAAAACCTGTCCCATTCCTACCCTTTATAAATAGATTCATAGAATCAACGGTACCTTTATCATGTTTAGTCACCTGTAACTCGACGAGATAGAGGTATTTATTTAGGTTGTCCTCGTATCTGTCGATGGATATCCTGCAGATATCGAGCTGTTCCTCTTGAGTTTTGAACTTGGCTGCCAAAAGACCGTGGATGCCAAGTGCCTGGCGTTCCTCCAACGTGAAGGCGAGACCCTAGAAAAAATGTTGCGTGTTACATATTTGTCAATGCAGTTATTACAATGAATATGTGATGTGATGTTCTGCCTAACATTATTTAAAGGCGTTACTGTGTATTTTTTTGCTTTCATTCATTGCGAGCATTTTGTGTTCTCATTTTAAAGTGTTTGCTTGGTATGGTGTTTGTGATTACAGCATCGATCGGTGGCAAAACAACGCCAAAATTTTGGTGTTAATTAACCAAACAGCTGAACCGAGTATCAGTTTATGAAAATCCTCTACAAACATAAAATTACGAGTTGTGAGCTGTTGATCAATTATCATCAAGGTCATGAATTTTCCTCAAAACTAGTTCAATAACAACATGAAGGAAAAATGATGCAAAGTAAATAAAGCGATAATATTACATTCACCGTACACAAATAAACAGCTGATAGAAGTTTCTGAACTCCATGACTTGTACGTGACTCAATCCAAGCAATTTTACTTTAAGGCATAAAAATATTGATGTTTACGAGTTCGGTTATGACTTCAATAAGACAGTAAAAGTTCGATTTTGGCAACGAATCAAGAAATGCAGTGGGAGGCAAACAAAAACTAAGGTATTCGATTTGCATTTCCGATTTCTGTGGTTCCCACGGTATGTGGAGCGCACGATGAATTGAGCTCAAGGTCTTATATAAAAACACAGGTATTTTTAATTATAGACAATTTAGAAGCTTATTACGAAACAGATAAGCATGGTTTTCTCATTTTACTATATTTCGTTTGATCTTTAAAAGAGACTACCAGACTTTTTGTTTTGGGGTTTCCTCAGTGTGCAATCAAGTCACATAGGTAATACCGAGCTTTTGTCTGACGTGTAAAATTGATGGTTTCAAAGAATAATAATATTTATTCTCATACTTCTCTAGACTGTATCGCTGTACCTATAATTGCAAGAAAGCAAATAACTTCTGAACCGTATAAGGACATGAATTCCTTACCTTATTGAGTCGGGGATCTCTCAAATGATCGATACCTCTGACTACATTGGGGCAGATAATGTTACCGGTGACCTCGTGGTAGTCCCGGTTTTGCGGCACTGAGATGACGGACGAACTCTTCGAGAGAATTGACGCTAACGCCCTGTTTGGGCCTATAGCGCTTGTACAACATCTGGAACAAAATTAGACCTTAATAATATGATGTAACGTTGTGATTTCATTGAACAAAATTGACACATCACGCAATACATGGGATCGCCCATCAAGCTTTTAATATGCAAAATAATAACACTCTCATGAGAGTCAAATAGTTATTATATTTAGTAAAATAAATTATACGCACTAGTATTTTCCCGCAACTACATTTTGTACAAGTTCGTTTTCCTACATCCCGCCAGAATTCCCGACGTTTGCACATTCGCCAATGCGTCATATAACCGCAATTCAGTGTTACATAACATTTCATTACCCAACGACAGCGTATTATAGTTTCGAACATAATACTACTATATTATACTCGAAACTATAATACCTAATTTACAAATACTACGACTGTCCGTAAGTGAAAACAATTTCAGATTGAATACCGTCCTTCGGTCTACTGTTTTTATACTAACTAACTAAAGGTTTAAGACAATACATAGCATATATTATATTAATTAGGCATAGGTATATCAAGTGAAACCTTCGGCTATTCTAATGAACAACAACACTATTTAAGTAACGCTTCCGTTTTTGTGCAAAACCGTTTAAAAGATTATATGAACAGTTTAAAATATAACAATTAAATTGGATAAGGATAACCATCAGCAAATTCCCCTGCAAATTCAGACTTAACTGGTTAAAATTAATAGATCACAAATCATCCACCATAAGTACAATCACAATCGTAAATTAACAAGTTTAATTGAAACTGAAACTCATTACAGAGACGTAATTCCAGATAAGTAGATAAATCCATCAATGATGATGGATTAGCATTTGTATTGACAACGACTGTGCAAACAATAAACTGTTCCAAGTCACATGATTTAAATTTTATTACCAAACACACCACGGGCACCATTTGCTACAATACAACTAACTAAATATAGTATTCTCAACTAATCACGAATCACGATCGATAGAACACATCCAATATCCCGAAGTAGAGTGCTAATAGCACGAATATTGGAAACGCCTCAATGTAGTATGCCGTCTACCTTAATCGAAGGTCTTATTGACGTGAACTAGAGTTGAAAGTTGAAGAATGGAGTAACGTAACCAAAGAAGGATACCTAGATTGTACGATGAATGAAGGATAAGAGATAAGAGAGAAAAAGTGGAGATTGAATGAAACTAAGACAGAAATAGCATTTTAAGACGATGGCAAAGTTGATTGACGAGTAAATACTTGGGCAAACGTTACCAGGAAATATTTTAATTGAAGTTACGGCTTCACAGAGTATCTCTTTGAATTTCCAAGAATTTTGTGGTGAGTAACCAGAACATCGAACCGATGGTATAACCATAACATAACATAACATCACGCCTTTTATCCCCGAAGGGGTAGGCAGAGGTGCACATAGAAGTAACACCCACTTTTCACTATTTATGTTATGAGTCCCATGTAATAGAGGGTGAGCCTATTGCCATATACCGGGCACATTTCCAGACTCCGTGCTACTACTGAGATTTTTAAAAAACCCCAGTAATACTTTGCCCGACCCGGGAATCGAACCCGAGACCCCTTGCCTGACAGTCGCACTTGCGACCACTCGGCCAATGAGGTATAACCATCACTCATTTATATTAACAATAAGAATGATGTTTTTATGGTAGGTTGTAAACGTACTGACTTTCATGTAAATTGCAACAACCATATCTAAACGGAAAATGTAACTTTCCCTACTTACTTGTAAAGAAAATTATCGAAGTCTAGTTTCTTAACCAAAGAGGAAAACTACGACACAGCGAACTAGCAACGAGTAGCGCGATGCTATAAACGAGTTAGTTATAGTTATTACATCAAACTACGGATGAAACCGGTGCACGGTGACTCACTTGCGAAGCTGTGAGCCATGGATTTAAGAACGTTCAACTCGGACTAGCGGAGATTTCCATAACGTAACTCTGAAGGGGATATACTGCCAATGAATGTAAAAGTATGATTGATAACATTTTTGTAAACCCAAAACACGGAATACAGAACACAGCAAAACACATTCAAAATGATATTGTTTACGAAGTGCAAAATTTTAATACACTCCGCTAACGATTACTAGTGAGACTTGGGGAAATATTATACAATGTAGACCCCAAAAACGAAAGGTTAATCAACTTACCTAACCCACAATAATAGCTATTGTCAATATTTACCAACTTATAAACTAATGTTAAAATATCGTTTAGAAATTCACATTACAAACTTACTGACGAAGTAAAAGCTTAGTGCTTCAACGATATAACTATAGAAGCAATAGCCTAAAGCCTGGACCAATGTTTACCAATTTAGTTAATTGAACATGTAGCTATAGACTGAACCATATACTCCAATTAATTACGCTTTGATTATTACACGAAATAGGAGAAAAACAAGCATCTTGAATACCAAGAAAGCCACTATTGAAATGTTAAGTTTAATTGTCACCAAAAATATTCACAAACCCCTTATTTTTTGGAACAACTTCAAGTCATTCCCGATATACTGTTGTAAACGGGATCTTCATTAGTGACCAAACAAAAGAAGCAACAACAAACCCCGAACCTTGCAAAATATTACAACCTTTCTCCTTTTTCTTTTATCTAACCCGCAACGAAATTAATGAGACGATATTAAAGGAGGAGTAGGATACACACTATTTTAACTTCCCTTGCCATTTTTGGATACTTTAGAGTTATTCTTAATTCAGACATTAAAAAATAAGAAAAAGCCAACTTGTCAGTCATCATATGGGTTGATGAACTTGGATTAAAATATTTCCCAGGAATACTTTTATGAAAATGAAATTTTAAAAGCGTCTGGAAAAAGCTACTAAATGTTTTTTAAGAAAGCTTTCGGATGATATAATAAAAAAAAACAAAAGAGAACCTGTTTTCGTTTAGACTGGCCAAATCCGAAAAGCAATCGCTTCGTCTCAAGTTAGGCTTTTGAGACATAATGGAAACTGCAGCTCTGTCTTAAACAGATAAACGTCTGAACGTAGACTAAACGAAGAACTGAGTACCGTTTTCTCCTTCACGTTGTCAATAACTAAGTAAAAGATGACGTATGCTAATACTGATACCATCACAATAGTCGTTTAAGTTTTAACATCGATGGTAATGGAGATAGATTACCTGCAGATCAACCAGTACGTAAATTGCGCTTCGAATAGCGATTAGATAGATAAAAACTGCATTTACTGTATCAGTTTATTCGGAATTGTATAGCATCGTACGTTTATAAATCGATATACTCTCAGACTTACTTCAACAATATCCTTTTCACGTAAGTTTCCCAAAATTAAAAACCGCTGCCAAATTTGTTTTCTAAACTCATCAATCGCCAATAAAGTAACAGCAGACTTAAGAATATTCGATACGATAGCCTGATAATCTGTTACTACGTACTTCACATTTGATAATAATAATAATTCATTTCGATCTATAAAAAACATTCAAACGTTCCGAGTGCCAGACTTCTTATGATTCCTAGCAGTGTTAACGTGCCAACAGCCATCCGCAAATGAAATACAAGGTTCATGACCTCAGATTTAGACGCCTCCATCTCCAAGAATGTATTTCAGTGATGCAGAAGACACCTCAAACATTTCCAATTCACATAACTATTAAAGAAGTCATCAGAAGATGGTAAACAAAATTTTGGCAGCCGAAATCAATACAAGATGATAAACTGATTAGCGAAGCGTCGCTACTTCTTCCGAATGTAGAAGAAAAAAATACAACAGCTCGATATGGTTATAAGTACTCAGCTATTGAGTAATGTATACCTCAGCCATTCAAAGCACCACGATAGACTGGCTAGTAGACTGACAGCAGACACTATTACTGCGGTACAGCCAGTCGATAAATTCGTACATCATAAAATATCACTGCAGGCGTATAACAAAGTACATATATATACGCATCAGCACACTCAAATCTCGCATCTAAACGATAACGGCTTTAAAAATACTAGCCATAACATCGATAATACATCGTTATAAAAAGATATCGAGAATATCAACAACATACACACACTAGTGGTAATCGATACTCGAGGAAGGAACTGATTCAATGACAACTGCGGCAGTGTTACCGTTTACATGTTTACATTAGATGGAACGAGCCTTGTACAAATAAACAGCATCACAAATACTAACACTAATTAACAATTTTACGTAACTAGTTGTTATAATTGTTGCGTTAATAAATTGGCTGGGTTTATTATACGGAACATAACGAAGATAGAGTTTGCTAGGGGCGTTGCGCGATACTGACTTCAGCCTTGACTGACAGTACAATAGAACTCGTAAATGGGCAGACATATAACGGAAGATAGATAAAATTATGGCTATAATTAGACCTAATAATAAAGGGAGAAATTGGGTAGTTTCCTAACTCAAAAATAAATTACGTATTTTTACTGTTTTACTGTTCAATGCAATGAAGTATTCAATAATAGTTAATCACACTTTCATTCATTAATTAGGTGATATAGGATACACAATTTTTGAATTTTTAACTAAAATGGAAATGTTTATTATTCAAACTGCCTCGTTGGCCGATTTGGGGTCTCGGGTTCGATTCCCGGGTCGGGCAAAATATTACTGGGTTTTAAAAAAAATCTCAGTAATAGCACGGTATATAGCAATAGGCTCACCCCCTGTTACATGGGACTCATGACATAAATAGTGAAAAGTGGGTGTTACATTGTACAATGGTATAATGTGCACCTCTGCCTATCCCTTCGGGGATAAAAGGCGTGATGTTATGATGAGGAAATGTTTATCACTACTTTACTAAATACTATAACGTGTATATGTAATGAATGACATGTAAAATCCGTCTACATGTCTGTTTTTAGAGTTTTGACCAAACGTCATTAACCGCGACACGGTCTATTTTCATTCCTAATTGCCAATAGATATAGAAACGCTAAAATGTTTCCGAGTCAACAACTAGGCTAAGAACGAACTGATACATTTTAATGTCAATAAATATGCTACATTTTAAACTAGTGTAACTATTTGCGATCAACGAAAACGTACGGCCACTGAACTTTTTATTAGTCTCACAAAAACGAGGATAAAATATCCCACCTTTATCATACGTAGTGGCCCACGGAACACCTTGAAATGAGTTCATAAACATTAGCTAACATTAAACGCGAGTAACGGTTATAGTGCGTAAGCCGTAGCGTCAAATTGATGGCGATTTATGAGTGGGTGAGGATGCGAAAAGTGCATCCTCTATCAAAAGCCCCGGCGCATTGGACAAATGAATGGAATATGGCGATGTTTCTGTAAATCACCTGGATGAATGGCATGAATGCTAATCGAAGAATAGAAAAGTAAATCTTTGGTACTTTCAACTTGTCGTAGGTAAGCACACTCCAAAGTGCCAAGCACGAATAACTATCGCATTCGTACTGTAATAGTTTCGAGGGTGTTCGGCGCTCTGAGGCCTTAGTACTAGTATCTTTTACGTTTAAAGTAATCGTAACAAGTACGCGTTCGGCGCTCTGATTGGTTAGTTCATTGGAGCCAGCCAATCAGAGCACCGAACGTGGTCTAGTTTGGATGACTTGAAAAGTAAAACAAACTCGTACTAAGTCCTGAACTATTTAAAATGCGATAATTTACAACCAGCTTGTTTTTTTTTATGAAATAGAAGGCAAACGAGCAGAGGGATCACCTGATGGTAAGCGATCAGTGCCGCCCATAGACACCCGCAACGCCAGAGGAGTCACAGTTGCGTTGCCGGCCTTTTAAAAAGGAATACGCTCTTTTCTTGAAGGTTTGTCTAACGTGAAGATTATGGCAAACCCTCTTATGTAGAGGAGGCTCGTGGTCAAGGAGTGCACAGTCACGGGCTGTCGATCGGATAATGATACCATAATGTACCTAAGTCACTTTTCTACTCTATTTGACTACTTAGTAACTATTTAAGCCATTTATCTATAGATGCCAGTTGGACGCTGTTGGCATGGATCTATTCAGTTAAAATTATCTGGGAGTGTGAGGTAATTGACATAACTACCACGCCCACTTCGACGTAACATTTCAGATGGCACCAAACAAATTACGTATTTAAAAACAAAGCTACGACGACGTTGTTATTTATTTTTCTTCACGTTTCTGAGAAAAACTACTATCACAGTCGGAATAATTGCTTTAAAAATGCAGAATTATAAACAGCCCACACTCTCTCTGTGTTTGTGGTATGCTTGTCCTGAAGATTATCGTAAAAATGATAGGTTTACGTACATTTAATCTATCAAACTTCTAACATAGATAAAAAATTTGTGTTGGTAAATATAAACTATAGTTTTGTGTAGATAACACTTTAATTTTCTGGCAATCACCTTGCGGTATTTAAGCATAACTAGGGCTGTCATATCAACAATTTAGTTATATGAAATTGAAGCAACTCATTATTAGTTTAATCTTCTTTACTTATTCCTTCATTCATATTACTTTTGCCTAAAGAAAAGAAAAAGGCCAAAGAAGGGTCTGCTAAGGATAAAATAACTTTATATACACCATATACACAGAATGATTGGTAACCCTATTCAAAACTCATATATTCTGTGCCAAGTCACAATAGAATGGACATACTATTATTAGACAATACATGTTTGTTGTTGAATATTACGAATGTAATAAAAGTAAATAGGTAGTTCCAGCAATAACCATTCTCAGGAAAATGATTTTCATGGTTGAAATGTAATCTAGGATAATGAAAATCAATTTCAAGTATGTGTCAAAGATAACGTCTTTATGCATCTGTCAACTAGTTAATAGTTTTAAAAAAAAAATTAACTGATTTAATATTTTAAAATTGCATTTATTTTTTACGTAAATTATAAATAAAAAGTAATATGATTGTATTGAATTATTTTTAATAAATAGATTGATAAATAAGCACTTTTTAAGTTACATTGACGGCAATTTCAATGTCCAAAATTAAATTTTTCACATTACAATGTTATTTGATTTGGACACCTAAAATTGGGCAATGCAGCTCCAGTTATTGTTGGAGGAAAAGAAATAATTCAGAGATAAAATCACAAATGGATATAGTGTTTGAACTGATAACAATTAAGAATGAGTTTTAATCAAAAATGTTAACATAAAAATCAGATATGAACTGACGCAAAAACTCTAGATAAGGTGGCAGTGTTATACAATATCAAAGACAATAATAGAAAATTTTATGCAGCTTTTTCACACCCAAATTCTTTTCAAACACAACTGGTTGGGCTTGCAAATATACAAAACACACTTGTTTCATATACTACATCAGTGTTTGGAAGGTTTTTAAGTCAGGAAAATTAGGATAATTCGTTTATTCAATAAGCAGAACAATTTGAAAGATCTCTCATTGCTCTATTCATTAGAACTTAAATTCCAGCATGTAAATATTTTTAGAGTAACGTCTGTCACAATATAATGAGACCTTGAAATTGTTACAGCGACGATACATTTACTTCCTGTACTAACTATGTGCGAATTTTAAACTGAACACCGAAGAACGAAAGTCAAAATCAATAACGCAGAAATAATCTGTTTTCCAATATTCAACGCGTCGCCTCGTTATAAATTTTATTTGAAGTTATTATAGCTTCACTAGCAGTCGTTTTGGGCCCATTTCATATCCGTGTAGCTCAAAATAATTTGTTTATAGATTCGATATAAAAAAAACAGCTGTCACGTTATGTAAACTCCAAAAATAAATGAAAAGGTACTCACAATAAAGATTTAGACGCAGTGGAAAACATTTTAAAAAATATGTTTCATCGACACAATTGAAACCCTCAGGAAACCGCACCGCTTTCGTGTAGTCTAATTACTGAATATTTTATTTTACTAAATAATTTCAGTAACGCCCTCCATCCATGTGGCAGTGATTTGACTGAAGCATAGACTATATAGATAAACTAAACTGAAGCAACTAGAGGTGCCCCGTTATGTTCACTTGTTCGCTACTTACTATTTTGCAATCAAAAGCACAAATAAAAACTGATAAACACTTACATGAATCATTATTATATATGGTATCAGAGTCAGAAAGCAAGTCTATACCGAATATTATTTGTGTTTTATTATTAACTTTATGTTTCAGTTTGACTTTTCATGAAAATATTTTCTTAAACATTGGATTGTTGGAGACCATGTATGAAGCCCAGTATAGCACAGGTTGTTGTGAGCAACGGTGTACACACAATCCTAAAAAAGTGAAAAAGACAAGCAAAGAATGACCGCAGACCGGGTGATTTTTCCACCAGGTAGGTAACCCAGATTTAATCGATTAATCGAATAGTTTGAAATTAAATACTGTCATAATTTTTTCAAGCTGGTAATATATAAAATAATGGTCTATAGTCTATGAAAGAATTTTATTGACAGACAGCTGACAGTTTGTAGCAGAAAGAAAAACATTAATTCAGATCCGTCGTAGGGTAAATACTTGTTTAGATCCGAATGCGTTTCGCTGAAGAAAATTCTCATAACTGATTGTGAAAAATACTGGTGCCATGATTCGAGAAGATGACCCTCGGTTCCGGATTACTCCATTCCAGCAAATGGCATCGGCATGTTCCGGTGCTCTTATAACCTCGTTATTCAGTGAGTTTCCACTTAATTCTTACATCCAGGAAGTCTTTACTGTTGTTAATTCTTGTCTTTGACCTTATTTGAACATTTATTTACAGTGACTCCACTAGATGTTGTCAAAATAAGGCTTCAAGCGCAGCAGAAGGCGTTGCTCTCGAATAAATGTTATTTGTATTGCAATGGTCTTATGGAACATATATGTCCCTGCGGCGACTCTGCCTGGATACCGAGACGAGTACATTTCAATGGCACAATGGTATGAATAACATTTAATATTATTTAAAATCATTAATTATTGTTGTTCAATCACAGTGTGAAAGTAGCTTCGTTTTAAGATGAAATAAGTGGCAGAAACCATGTTACTATCGTCACATGGTATTTATCCGCTCGACCTATCATAGTAAGTAATTAGTAAATACTAATGGGAACATACTAACATAACTAAATTATTTTATTTTGTTCCAGGATGCTTTCTATAAAATAGCCAAATTAGAAGGAGTTCCTGCATTATGGTCTGGATTAAGTCCTACATTAATCCTAGCTCTTCCATGTACAGTTATTTATTTTGTAACATATGAACAACTGAGGTATAGGATGAAAACAAATTACAATAATTATACCAATAAACGTAAGTAATTAATTATTTTATTTACTAAGGTTTAAATTTGTTTAAAAAGATATTTACCCATTAAACTATTTTGTAGTCATAGAATAATAATTAATTTAATACACATATTATTATGAATTATATATTTTACTATCCCAGAAACACACTTAGCAACACAGTAGAGACATCTAGCTAATTAGGTCAATCTAGCTACCATCTTAAAATACTCCAATTATGATATGGGACACTACATAATATTATTATGACATAATTTATTGACCCATACATAATACTAAATTACCAACAAGCATATTGAATCAACCTGTCAAGTTCTTAGCCTTGACTTCAGGGTCGGAGGTAACGCAAATAAACAAATGTTGAATATGTTTTATGTATTATCATGATGATTTGGCAGTTTTTAGATAGCTATTGCTATTGTCCGACTTTTTCATAATTGATATAAACCTCTCAGTTTATTCAGGAAATGGTTGAGGTTTCTTAATTTTGTTTACATTTTTAACAGTCATTTCATAGATTTATTTACTGCTAAATAAAAAATATCTTTGAAATTGAAATTAAACATGTATACTACAAGAATAGAAATAATAATATTTAGTTATAATCTCATGATTTATCTCTCAGTCCTCATCCCTTATGTAACCATTATCAGTTTATAAACCTGAGCGATTACTAATCAGCCATCATGAAAATGTCACATGAGGAACATAAGGTCAATAGAATGGTTATGCTGATGTCAATGTTTCCCACTTTATTAATGTTTCAGCGGGACAACCGATGTGGATACCAATGTTAGCAGGAGCAACAGCCAGAACGATAGCTGTTACTATCGTCAGTCCTCTAGAACTAATAAGAACAAAAATGCAGTCGACAAAACTGAGTTATTCAGGTACTGTCCATTGCATTACTCCATTAGAAAACTCGGAATAATAATAGGGTAGTTGTGAGGGAATAAAAATTAAAAATCTAATTAGTCCGTCGGTTAGATACTGGAAAAATATTAGACACATTTTTTTTTAATTTTCTCGTATAAAGTTACAACACTTAGATAAAATGGAGTTAAGTTTAAGAGTGGGAGGTCGTTACGTCACAAAGTGCTACAAAATGTAGCGCATTGTGACGTCACACGATATTTTAGATTAATATTCAGGCAACTACCCTATTCTTTACATATTCAATCATAGTCAACAAATGTTGAATAACTTGTATTAAGAGTGTATAAATAATTATTATTATTTAACTGTTTAGTGTAACTTGTATTAACAGTGTTTAAATAATTATTTAACTTGGTGCACAGTTTTGAATTGTATTGAAAACTCATCATATCTTCAATGATAAACAAATTAGGTACCATTCTAAATATAGCTTATACTTTAGAAAGCAAAATAATAAGTATATAGCTACATTTCAATTACAATGTTCACTGAGTTTAAAGTAAACGGACATGTTTATTCAGTCATAATTATGTGATACTGATTACAAGCATGATTAAGGAACTTTGAACCCTATATATACTCTACATTAGTCACGTATTTGATAACCGAATTTCTACGGTAAATTGAGAATCTAAACATAAACAGTGATATCTAATCAATAAATGTTCTAACCTGAAAATGTCTCAAGAAGCTACTGGATAAAAATTCCAACCTTCCTTATTTGGAAGTCTTCTAGTCTCGATAGTCTTGAGCTTGATATGATAATAAAGAGGAAAAGCAATGCATAATATGTGTTTTGACCCTATTGTATAAATATTGAATGATCAAAAAATTTTTAAATAAATTTCAGATATAATGTCAGCATTACGTCAAGTCATAAAATATGAAGGATATAAAGGTCTCTTTCGTGGACTCGGCTCTACTTTATTGAGAGATGTACCATTCTCAGGTAATTTACATTTATGTACATAAAATCTTTAACAATAGCTTTTTTTAGACCACATGTTAACTATTCTACTTTCATTTTTAATTAAATAACTCGGAGAAACATGATTAGGTTTTCTCATAATTGTCCTCGTTCTTCTGTTTATTAATACTAATGATATATCTTTACATAATATTGTTACTTGGAAATTATAGTTAAAAAGTAGTCATAAATCATTATGCATAATTAAACATAGTTGGACTTGTACAATGGTTTGTTGAATGATTGCAAAAATAATGGTATCACGAGAGAAGGCCAACTAATAATATTTTATTTTATTATTACAGGTTTATACTGGACCACATTTGAGTCAACAAAGAACATTTTTAACAAACCAGACTCAGAAAAGAATACATTTTTGTTTAATTTCTTCTGTGGATCTGTCGCGGGCAGTGTAAGTTACTTATTAATTACTTTTAACAATGTGAAATTGATGATAAATTGCATTCTGTAAAGTACCTAATGCTTTTTCTATTATTGGGATGGTGTTCTATTCTGGATAAACTTTCAATTTCAAAGTACTTAACATTATTGCATCACACCCTCGGGTTAAACTCCAAAATAAAAAAGCTTAGTCATTGAGATTATAAAAATAAATGTCTATAGATTACTCTGATATCAGACCCAATGGGGTGAGCAGATAAGATTAGAAAATGCTAAGTGTTATCTATTTTATCATCGTCTGTTTCAGATTGCGGCGTTAGTAACACTTCCATTTGACGTTGTCAAAACACATCAACAAATAGAATTAGGCGAAAAAGAAATTTATACAGGTTGGCAACATTTCATTTGTTTATGCTTCCTTAGTTCCGTCACATCAATCAGGTGATTTTAGCACAAGAATAGACAATAGACATGACGAAATGTGTTACGATAATTTATGTTTTTTAATAGAAAATTTTCGTACTAAGATTTCAACAGCTTGTAGCATCGCCATCATGCTTTTATTAACACACTCACTAACGCTTTTTTCACGTGACAACGTCCTATAAATTGGTTTGCCGGGTGACACTTCAAGAAACTGCGTTACGCTCCGCTCACGTTATGCGCTCACAATGAGAGCGAGTGAGAGGCACGCGTCCCTTCCACTCGGGCATGGTTAGCCCGCCTAAGAGCGAGAGAGACAGACATAAAAAGTGAATTATTTCATCCTTCTTCCTACTATACGAATGAATATTCACATTAAAATTATTTTACCACTCAAAGTCGTTGTCACGCAAAACTTTCGACCGTATACCGACTTTACAGTCAACCAATTTTTTAAACGTTGCCCCACTCTAGTATTTATTACTATGTCATGGATGCGTTTACAAACATACAAGTTTACATGAAATCGTTTTACGTCAAAGATGCATCAGCAATATTAAAATAATAAGTATTGGTGCGGATGCAACATCAGCGATCTTCATATAGTGGCTGTATGTAATTTGCACATCACACCCGGACCCGGAACAACAATCTGTGGATCACACAGACACACGGAGTGGTTCCGTGAGGGGATCGAACCCTCGACACGTTGCGCTGCTGCCTGTTGCCCAGAGACCGTTCCAACCATGCAGTCATATAAGCGCTAAATCTGATATGTTGATTACTTCATTATAATTGGGTAGTTTCCAGGGCAACAAAATTAACGGACAAAGAATTACGGGGTTTTATTTTAAATCTCAGTAGCAGCACAGTGTCTGGAATTGTGCACGGTACCTATATGGTAATAGGCTTACATGGGATATTACATGGGACTCCTAACATAAATAGTGAAGTCGGTGCTACATTGTAAAGTGGCATTAAATGCCGTAATATGCACCTCTGCCTATCCCTTCGGGGGATAAAAGGGTTATATGTTATTTATTGATAAATATTGTATGAATTGGTAAAATGCATGTTGTATAAAGGCAATTTAGTTACCTTTAAGATGAGAGCATTTTGTTATAAAAGGAATATTTTTTAAGTTGGATAAAAAGAAAAAAGAATGCTAGTGGGTCAGTTTGTTTCCTCCAAAGTGTAAGATTTATATTGTACTTATTTATTTGCTCATGTAGTTTGCAGATTGTATTTATCTTTGTTTTTGTTGATGTGTTTACTGTTTCAGATGGTAAAGTCCATCAAAGAGCATCAAATATGAAGGAAATAGCACACACAATATACACCAATCATGGATTTAAAGGATTGTTCACTGGTTTCCTGCCGCGAATATTCAAAGTTGCACCAGCATGTGCAATTATGATTGCGACCTTTGAATATGGAAAACAGTTTTTCCAAACATATAACACTCAGAAATATAAGGAAAAAATGCAAAGGTAGATAGTACAATTCCTTTTTCGGTCGTTAACTTCTTAATCTCTAAAAAAATTATGAAAAATTCACAACATATGTTCATACAAAATTAGCCTTTGAACATTAGTAATAAGGTATATAATGGAGTAAGTTGTGAAGAGAGTGGTCACCGGTGACGGCTTGGGGACTGGGCAGTTAAGATGTTTTTAGTTTCTTTTATGAATCTTCTTACAAATCATTAAAGACTCCTAAATGTTACTAGAATATTCTTCTTTATAATTTTAAGATACAGTATTAAGCAAAGAAAAGGCTGTTCCATTGGACTAAGAAATTGACACCCCTCTGTAGAAAATATATGGAGGATGCTTTGTTTATTTTTATTTTTTACTATTCCTATAAAACTTAATTTCAGTCAAGGAATAGAAATCACAATAATTAAAACTTCAGATCGATAAAGGAACTTATATGATAAGGTATTTTAAAATGTAGTCAGTTAATTTTACAGACACAAACACTTACCTAGTATTAATGTACTTGAATAGTTATTTGAGTTACAAATTCAAACTCTTTAGATGTATTTAACAAACTAGGTAGTTGTATATGTGGATCACAAGTTGTGTTAGTTGTAAACCTATAACCATATATTTAAAAGATCATAGTTACTGTCGTAGTGTATTGTGGTACAGTTTGTTCAAATTATTTCAAAATGTTTATACTCACATTTTTTAATTAATTTCAGGCACCAAGAAATATTGTTGATGAGCCAAACATCAGCCAAAAATGATTATTCATAATACAACAAACGGGAATATCAATGTTTAGTAAAATATTGGAATACAATAAATGTGATAGAACTGTAGTAGGTACAGTTTAAGTATTTTATGGCTGTTCATATTGTTTACGGTTACCAAATGTACACTAACTTTGTAAAAATACCATTTCCATAATTGTTATGTAGTTAAAATAATTGTTTTCGTCAATGTTGTCAAGTTAGTACACTTTAATGCATATTTTTAGGAATTAGATGTTAGGGTGACCATTTGCAACTAAATTGCTATTACCTTAGGTATTGATGTTAAATGAAAGAACAAGTGGGTGATTCCACTAAATGCACATTATTTCTTTATATAGTTACATATGGCAAATTGTTTTGTTTATATAAAAAATATTCAATATGAGGTTTGAAATTATAAGGAATAATGTAGAAAAAAAATGTCAAGATATTAAATTGAATAGATATATGTATTAGTGGCCAGTCAGTCCTTACACTAATTTTAATCGAATATTAGTAATAATATGATTTAAACTGTCTGTTGTTGATTGAAATGTTTTTGATTATTATTTTTTTTTTGTTTTATTATTATACTTTATTTTGTATAATTGGAAACTATGTAAATATGACAACAGAAATTACGGTTTGTAAATATTTTTCCAATGACTTTGTAAATAGTATGAAATAAAATATTGTTATATTTTGCTATGCTTTATTTTATGTACACCAAATTCATAAAAGGTTAATTAATGATATACCTTTACTAACATTGGGCTTTGATAATGACTGGAATGATAGTAAGGATTAAAAAAAATTACAAGTCTTGCTAGTTACACTGTTTAATGCATTATTGGCTAACTAATTTGGCTTGGATTTAATTTCCAACAAAAAATGCTTAAATGATTGAGTGTATTACCAACATGTGCCATGTGCGAATAGTTAACACATTCAATACCTATATGGCAATTGGCACACCCCCTATTACATGGGACTCATAAAATAAATAGTAAAAAGTGGGTGTTACATTATACAGTGGCATTAACCCCTGGTATGCCGGACCATAGATATACGCGAGACAATGTGTTTTCTATTGTGTCTCATATGCTGGCAAATAAGAGGTTAAGTGTCGTAATGTGCACCTCTGCGTACCCCGTGAGGGATAAAAGGTGTGATGCCATGTTGTTTACTTATCCAGTACCTTGAAGTAACAACTAAGTTACATGAATTTACTAATACCTACATGTAACAAAAGGTTAACAAAAACTTTTTAATGGAATTCTCCCACCTTGGGTGAGGTAAGCCGGAGTGTCTGACTTCCACAAAGTAAGTACACACCATTCAATGAGTATGAGTAGTCCTACTCTTCTAGTCGGAGCCCTGGCAACCTTTTAAGTTGTTAACATAGGCTTAGGCTGAATATATTATAGTCTAGAATAGTCAGTAAAAGTCTGACACTCCCTCCCGCCTCACCCAGGCGGGAGCAGTCATTCGATGATTTTCCACCCTTAAAAAAAAAAGGCTCAATATACCCAAATAAAACAAAGATTAAGGAAATAAACTTATTTATTACATGTTATTCTTAAAGTTATTAGTGAACAATAGATCCCAACGGTTCTGCTTTGATATTTCCAAGGTCTAATCTGCTGTCTATAGATTCGTCTATTTGACCAACGATTGCTACATTGTCACCGCGTATTATATGAAGTCCGAGCACTACCTGCGCCACACCAGACGATGAAGAAAACACTCTTTCGTGCGATTCATCCAATATTATATTAATAGTTTGGTCAAATCCTTTTAAAGTTCCAATAAAGTTTCGACCGTCAGAAGTTATCACTGACACTGTTTGGTTCACATAATTTTCTAGTCCGGAAGCCATTGTTACACAATGTGATTTACAGTTTCAATATATATTAGCGGGTTTTGTACTGTAAGTAAAATTATTTTCGTTTGAACACCATTTAGCACGCCGTTAAACAAAACATGTCTAATTGTCGTCTAAAATTATGACATTGACAAATAATAGGATTCAAACCATAGATGTAAAATTCCAACTGGCATTCTGGCAGATGACAGTTTAGTATAGTGACGCCTGTTCTTTTTTGCAACATAGATGTAATTTATCTTAAGACATTTCGAAAACAGCTTCTTCAGCGCCCCTATGCGCGGTAAATTCACAAAATTCAAGTGGCGTTTCAAAATCGATTTGCATAAATTTTGACAAGTGGCAACACCGGCTCTTTTCTTTACGTTTTTTTGAGGGCGAAAATCTAAAACCTTGTTAACTATAATTCAAACGAAGATACACAAACAAACAAAATCTTTCATTTTATATGTTAGAACCCTTACCGACTCGTAGTCACACCAGATTATCACACCAGTATGACAAACAGGATTTTTTTTCTCGTTTGTCACACCACTTATTTTTCTACACTATGTATACGATAATTACTAGTGCAGTACCTTTACATTCCAATAAAGTCGATCGGCGTTTGCCGTCTTTCGTTCTTTGGCGAGTTTTTAATATTTTCTACTTTTAATTAATAAATAGGTAACATAACATAACATCACGCCTTTTATCCCAAAGGGGTATGCAGAGGTGCCCATTGCGGCACTTAATGCCACTATACAATGTAACACCTACTTGTTCACTATTTATATTATGAGTCCCATGTAATAGGGGGTGAGCCTATTGCTATATACCGGGCACATGTCCAGACTCCGTGCTACTACTGAGATTTTTAAAAACCCAATAATACTTTGCCCGACCCGGGAATCGAACCCGAGACCCCTTGCCCACTCGGCCAACGAGGCCGTCTAAATAAATAGGTACTAAAGCTCTATGTGGATGTCCAGTGGTTCATATGATAATGCAACCTTATCTAGTAGGTACTGGCCGGTTGTAAATGCAATGCTTGAGTTAATGATCGAGGACGCTCGATAGTTTTCGAGGATACTCGAAGGTGATCGAGGACGCTCGAAAGTGATCGAGGACGCTCGATAGTTTTAGAGGATACTCGAAAGTGATCGAGGACGCTCAAAAGTGATCGAGGATGCTCGTTAGATTTCGAGGACGCTCAAAAGTGATCGAGGACGCTCGATCGATTTCGAGGACGCTCGATAGTTTTCGAGGATACTCAAAAGTGATCGAGGACGCTCGATAGTGATCAAGGATGCTCGATAGATTTCGAGGACCCTCGAAAGTGATCGAGGACGCTCGATAGTTTTCGAGGATACTCAAAAGTGATCGAGGACACTTGATAGATTTCGAGGACGCTCGAAAGTGATCGAGGACGCTCGATCGATTTCGAGGACGCTCGATAGTTTTCGAGGATACTCAAAAGTGATCGAGGACGCTCGATAGATTTCGAGGACGCTCGAAAGTGATCGAGGACGCTCGAAAGTGATCGAGTAAGCCCGATAGATTTCGATGATACTCGAAAGTGATCGAGGACGCTCGAAAGTGATCGAGGACGCTCGATAGATTTCGAGAACGATCGAAAGTGATCGAGGACGCCCGATAGATTTCGAGGACGCTCGAAAGTGATCGAGGACGCCCGATAGTTTTCGAGGACACTCGATAGTTTTCGAGGACGCTCAAAAGTGATCGAGGACGCTCGAAAGTGATCGATGATGCCCGATAGATTTCGAGGACGCTCGATAGATTTAGAGGACGCTCGAAAGTGATCGAGGACGCCCGATAATTTTCGAGGATACTCGAAAGTGATCGAGGACGCTCGAAAGTGATCGAGGACGCTCGATAGATTTCGAGAACGATCGAAAGTGATCGAGGACGCCCGATAGATTTCGAGGACGCTCGAAAGTGATCGAGGACGCCCGATAGTTTTCGAGGACACTCGATAGTTTTCGAGGACGCTCAAAAGTGATCGAGGACGCTCGAAAGTGATCGATGATGCCCGATAGATTTCGAGGACGCTCGATAGATTTAGAGGACGCTCGAAAGTGATCGAGGACGCTCAAAAGTGATCGAGGACGCTCGATAGATTTCGAGGACGCTCGAAAGTGATCGAGGACGCTCGAAAGTGATCGAGGACGCCCGATAATTTTCGATGATACTCGAAAGTGATCGAGGACGCCTGATAGATTTCGAGGACGCTCGATAGATTTCGAGGACGCTCAAAAGTGATCGAGGACGCTCGATAGATTTCGAGGACGCTCGGAAGTGATCGAGGACGCTCGATAGATTTCGAGGACGCTCGGAAGTGATCGAGGACGCTCGATAGATTTCGAGGACGCCCGAAAGTGATAGATTTCGAGGACACTCGATACCTAGTTAATTTAATTTAAAGGTTTGCAACATGTGTCGATACCCTTCGCCATCTCATCTTCTGACTACGGCAGGTTGTGCTGGTGCGGCTGCCGCAAGTGCAGAAATCCTCAGCGGCACAAATATAATAACCTTATCGGAAATTACATGCGCTCATCGTGTTGTTCGAGATATCAGTAAACGTCGACTCTTCGCGTGACCACAGGGCCGGGCTTTTCTTTTGTCAACGAATCAGCATTGCCATCCAACGTGGCAATGCTGCCAGCGTTCTGGGCACCTTTCCCATTGATATAGATAGGGATGGATTCTTTTAGGTAGTTTACTTTTCAAACCAATTGATTTCTCTTTTCGCCATAAACTTAATTATAATAATTGACGCCCTATGAGTTTTTTTTACTACCTGTTGTACATATTATTACTATACATAGTTAGTTTATTATTACTTTATGTTACACATTTAATTAAATAAAGGCATCAATTTAATAAAAACTTGATAATTTGATGATTTTTAATTTAGCTCTAGGACAGCACTAGTTAAGAATAAATGGTGTAGAAAAATAAGTGGTGTGACAAACGAGAAAAAAAATCCTGTTTGTCATACTGGTGTGACTACGAGTCGGTAAGGGTTAGAACTTGTAGTAGGTACGCGCGGCCTCACCCGCTGCTTGGCTCCTATTGATCATAGCATGACATTTTAGTCAGTAGGTACCTAAGAGTCTGATACTCCCTCCCGCCTCACCCAGGCGGGAGCAGTCATTCGATGATTTTCCCCCATAAAAAAAATCCGGAGATTAGCGCGTTTAAACAAACAAACTCTTGCGGTTTAGTACATTTAAAAGAAGTTTAGATTTCCGGTTCCTCTCCTCTCCGCTTTAGTGGATACCGGGCCTTACACCCGTACTAGAACTAGGCTAATATAGGTACAACGTGTCATCTCATATTTTAGAAAATAAAAAACATGGAAATTTGTTCCACCGGTAATGAGTTACGTTCATACGGCTACACATCGAGGTTTACATAACCAGTATAAACTGAACTTTACATGTGCGGAAAGATAATGCGACACGACACCAGGATAAACTGGTTTTGTATAGGTTGATGGTGGTGGCCGTGTGTACATAATATTTTGCGTATAACGGTTTTATATTTTGTTGTTTTATAGTTCCCGGATAAGAAATTTAAGGGGCTGGGCCTAGTGCTACACGTGTGAGTGTAGCTGTGTAGCGGTCTACTTATGTTGTAAAAATATTTTATGGACGATTCATTTTTGTTAGAAAAAAATTTTTTTATGGCATAAGCCGGTAAACGTGCAGACGGATCACCTGATGGTAAGCAATCGACGTCGCCCATGGACACCTGGAACACCAGAGGTGGAACACCACTGTTACAAGTGCGTCACCGACTTTTTGGGGATTAGGAGTTTGAGGATCGTTGGGGATTCAGGGATTGGCGAGATCGGGGAAGGAGAAGGTAATTGGGCCTCCGGTAATCTCACTCACACGACGAAACACAAAGCAAGCGTTGCTTCACGTCGGTTTTCTGTGAGGCCGTGGTATCACTTCGGTCGAGCCGCCCATTCGTGCCGAAGCATAGCTCTCCCACATTTAAACACTTTTCCTATTTTAAACTTTTAACTAGCTCAAGTTAAAGTTTGAAGTATACTTCATTGACAATAATATTATTTAATATTTATGTGATGACAGCACCTGTTTAAGTAAACAACATTTATGGTAAATAGTAGTAGGTAGCAAGGTATCAAGCAGAGTTAAAAATAAAACAAGTATAAATAATTTATTCTTTATGTATTATATATATTCAAGGGCTCTACCTATCAGTAAAAGTGACAGACTCTTGCCGTCCAAAATCCACCACAAATCATTTTCATTCCACCAAAATCGGCCCAGTCGTTTCAAAGGTTTAGACAGTTGGGTTGGGTTTGCCGTAAAACGGGGTAAATGGATACAGCTAAAAGCTAACTAAGCTATTCTGTAAGATGTCAATTCGAATTCTCGAAGTGAGCTCGATCGCCTTCTCGCCTGTCATTGGTCGAGATTATTCTTACAATCAATGACATGGCGGACCGCCATGCCGTACCCATGGACATTATAAGTTAGTTATAATACGTCCATGGCCATACCTACTAAATCTTATAGAATAGCCTATCAGGAATGGGAAGACGTTAGAACATTTCCGAACATTAATTTCCACGCTCTTCGGTGTTCTGTATTTACCCCGTCTTATCGTTATTACTGAAGTTCTAACCTTTAACTACTTAACCATAAGTTTTATTTTTATCTGTACATTAATCATTTCATAAATTCTTACAGGGGTTTACTGAATAATTAGTGACTTAAAAGGTAATTAGGTTAGTTGGGTATAGCAATCTGTTTGTTACTAACCTACAATTTACAGTAGGTATTTTAGTGGCATATCTAGGTAAGAAACTAGGAGGGTTACCTATGTAATACCTACTAAGGTAAAAAAACTACGTTAAAAACTAGACGTTAAAGACTCGGCTCCAGACAAGTAGTCCTCATCATCAAATTCTGACTTGGCGAAAATAAGACCTTATCGAGAATATAATCTTTTGAATACAAAAAGTAATTTGAAAATCTGTAGGTAAAGTAATCGGTGAAAAACAAAAAATAAAATAATATTCAAACACAACCCTTGACCGGGGTCTCTAGGATTTTCTCCTAGGTCGTAAATGCGGGAATCGAACCCGCGATACGTTGCTTGTACATAGTACTGTAGCAGTCAGTTGCCCAGTCACTGCACCAATCATGCATCTAAATAACATACATTACCTACGTATAACAATAACAAGTACGTAGACTTGGGTGCAATGGAACGAAGCCACTCGAGTATTTTCCATTCTTGATTTTAATTCTGTTACAACTAGATGTTTTATCAATTGGTAAATAGGCCGAAAGGCAATTTAATCGTCTATAATAGAAATACAGATTATTGTGATAATGTTAAACGGTTTACTGACCTCTATTCTACCGCTCAAGCCTTTACGTTTGATATCCGTAATGGTACCTTTCAGTTGTGGACAGTGAGAAGAAAGGGAATCGAATTGAACAAAATTGGAAAAAGTAATGAACGACTATTCAGTTTTTAAACGAGCTAAACAATTAATATTACACACAAGTAAACAACATAAGATTTAAGGAACCTGTGTAACTTTAAAAAAAAATTAGTAGGTATTACAACAAACTATCCTCATTTTTAAGGTAATCAAATTGCATTCCATACCAAATACTGAATTACGTGTATCATACAAAAATTTATCAAAATAAGGAAAACAACTCCAGTGGCTCCTGTTCTTTTCTGTCAAGTGTATTAAATAGGTACTTATGTATAATATGTATGACAATTAAATTATAAAAATAGTAATTACATGAAAAATAATTTTACAAGCTATTTAATTATCTTTCTTTATTTTCATACTAGTCATCCTATAGATAATAGTGTCGCGGCCCGGGTCCATGTCCATAAAAGAATACATGATAGCAAGCATAGAAAATGTCATTACCATTCCGAACCACAGAAATATATTAAATACTGCTGGATAGTCGACGTCAAATTCATCAGCAATAGTGCCATTCGCTGGCTGTAAACATAATACCATTGATTATATTGAAAACAATTTATGTGTGGTCTATAAGGTGTATTGCTAACACCGAATATCTTACCTTTGTTGCATTTCCACTTTCAGTACCATTTCCACCTGCACCACCTTCACCACCTGCACCACCTTCACCACCTGCACCACCTTCACCACCTGCACCACCTTCACCACCTGCACCACCTTCACCACCTGCACCACCTTTACCACCTTCACCACCTGCACCACCTTCACTACCTTCACGAGTTTTTGGCCTTACGATCGCCCGGCTCATCCATTCATAATCGGCAGTACCAGCTGGTTTTACAAATTTGTACCGATTCTTTTTCTTATCGGAACTTTCATTGGACCAATTATATGACCATTTTCTTTGGGTGACATTCAAGTCTGGTATAGAGACCGATCGAGCTGAGCGACGAGTGTGAGGGACATCAGTGCTAACAGCTGTAACTAATACCGAACCAACATAGGCTTTGACAAATGCCTTGCTGAGTTCTTGAACAGCTTCGCCTATAGTGGAATTAATATATAATTATATTAGTAGGTAGGTAGCAATCAAGTATAAGTACCTACTAAATCTTTGATAGCAATTTTAAATGTTTGACTATAAACAATAAGTACCATCCTGCATTTCTATCAATTTGGAACCCGTGAAACTACGTTAAGCCGCTACTACTTTCTTCCTAGTTATTCGATAGATTACAATGACGTCCAGAATGACAGACTAACATGTGCCCATTTGTCGACATTTGTGACTATACAGTGAAACTTGGTTAAGTGGGACCTGGATAAGTGAGAAACCTCCATAACTGGAACTCATGCTGACGTCCCAACACTTTGGCACTGAATTACCTCTGTTAATGGGACGAGGTAAACCTCTATATCTGGGATTTGTTCTTTCGATTTATCATCATAGGTACCCCTATAACTGACACAGCGAGTAAATTTTATGCATAAACCTCTGTAACTGAGATAACATTGTTTGTTTACTCATTCTTATTCTACCCACAAATTCCACACGTAATTCCCAGTCCACCTCTATTAATGAAATTCTCTGTAAATGAGACAGATATTTATTTATACCTGTATATCTGAGACACTGGGTAAGTGGAATACCTCTATAAGTGAAACGACATTGCAGGTCCCTTGATGTCTCACTTAACCAGGTTTCACTGTAATTGATAAAAGTGATTGAATCTCTTAAGTTATCGGCCTATAGTACTTATTCCCTATTAACCACCTTCACCTCACACTCTGAAAGAATAACATACCTACATGAATACTCAATTAGGCCGATTATACACAGCGACACAAACAAGTTGCACACTCATTCATCTACAGCTTGCTACTAAATAAACATCAACTTCTGACCTCTCAAACTAATGCACCCAAAAACATTAAAAGTGGAAGTAGAAATTAATAACCAATCTTAAATCTTCACCCAAATCCTTTGGATCGATCTAAGTTCTTGACTGAAAGTTCATACAAATTCTGTTAAAGATTGATATTAATTATTATTAATCCAAAGATTCTGGCTATTGATTATTAATTTCGCTCACAATATTATTATAACCATGCACAAAGCTGTAAACTTTGACACATAAGTTTTTACAAGAAGATGCCGCTGTATACGTACAGTCAGCACCAAAAGTCGATGAACAGAATCCACATTACAAAATACCTATTCACAATAAAATGCCATAAGTTATAGTCGCAACTAGGAAACAAAATAGCCTGTACACTAGAAATAAATTACAAGTACCGTCACAAAACAAATTTATTATTTTGACGTAAGCGTACCTATATATAATATAGATTAGTATGATTACTGACAATAAAATATACATAATTTTGTAAATAGATAATAACGTGTTAACGTGCATTATTAAAGTGAAGCAAACATTGTCCTAAAAGTAACTGAACAACACAAGCGTCAAAAGTATATTAACACACGGCAACATTAAAAATATACTTTGTTAACCTAATTTTATCTTTACTGCTGTTTAGTGACTTTTGGTACAATGGTGTTCAGCGACATTTGGATTGATGGTGTACAGCGACTTTAGGAATACCAGTGCACAGATACTTCTGAAATAGTCGTGTGTAACGACTTTTGTAAATTTCTAGTGTACAGGCTATTTTGTTTCCTAGTTGCGACTATAACTTATGGCATTTTATTGTGAACAGGTGTTTTGTAATGTTGATTCTGTTCATCGACTTTTGGTGTTGACTGTACCTTCTTCTAGCTTCTTCATATAACCGACATTATACAAATTTCGAGTAAAAGGAAATACTTACAGAGGTATTAATAGGTACCTACCTAATAATTTCTTAGCTTCTGTAGTTTCTTTAGAATTGGGACCATGATAGTCAGATACACCATGAAGACTGCGAATACGAAAATTGAAGAAATCAATTTGGTTGTCTGGGACAATACCCCCATCTTGGATCTGTCGATTAAATGCTAAGTCAATTTCTAGGTGAGATCGTATCTTAATGTAGATCGTAGATTAATTTTTTTAATGTAGGGACATGAATATACCTACTAACTATTGTAGGATTTTTATGGGGTTCAACCACAGAACATATAAAGAAGGTTAGAAAGGAAATAGTTCCTGATTTGTATTAGAACACGCGTCGCCGTTTGTCCCCCACTCTTTAACGTTACTACAAGCAAGAGACCAATACCTACGCGGAAAATGCACACAAATAAACAACACGCACTAGGTTAAAAGATTTGTTATTGGTCGTCACACTGACGCAATCACTTCGTTTGACATACACTAATACAGGCGTAAAAAACTCATATATGGTAGGGGGAGCGAAAGGTCGATTATTGATATCGATAAAATTAATGGCATCTATAGGATCCATCTGTTTAGGTAATTAACTAAAGGTAAACAAAGAAAACCACGTGACACAGAGATACTTAACCTATTATTACTTCAAATATTTCTCGTGTTTTAATTTTAACTAAATTCACTTTAAAATCGTTCATTTGTCATACACACACATACAAGTACAAATGCCTAAATCGTACAAGAGCCTAGCCTATGGGTCTATTTCATTATCATGTTTAAATAGAAACTATTCTGAATCTGATGTACGGATTTCTTTCTTGTACGGATATGTGTCTTTGGGCCAAGTTTCTTCAATATATTTGAACACATTAATTACAAACGATGAATAACCTAAACTTAAATACTTAATAACAAAACAAAACAAAGAAACAAGATAAATTCAACCAAATAGAAACGCGAGCGCAACCGACCAGAGAGCTGTCAATGGCGCTTGATTAACCGACTAAACGTAATACACGCTACTTTCATTGTCGCGCTACATCTTAGTTGTACTCTTTAATTTGACAACATTATCTAATGCTTCGTTCATAAAGAAAGGTTTTGGATACCTGGGATTTTAGGCTCTTTATGGTGTCTATTGTGATGAAATATTATATTATTTAATAAATGTTATTAAATTATTATGCTCAAGCAGATATATGTAATATTTACTAAGAAATAAGTGAAAAGGAACAGAAACATAAAATTTAACTCGTCGAGTACCGGTTTTATAGACACAATTAAAGAACAATGGGTCGCGGTCACCGGTGACCGCTTGGTGTTTGACAGTTTAATAGAGAAAACTGTCGTAAAAATGGAAACAATTTTATTTTCTTATGAAGTATTTTGAATCATGGAAGTGTCAACTATAAAGAACTCTTTTTATGGTTTGTTTACAAATAGTTAACTACCTAAACAGACGGAGTATAGCTTCTTAATTTACATGTATTGCGGACTATGCGGATTTGTATAAGGCATATTGTGTACATGTATTTACGTTAATGTAAATAACTATACATAGAAAAATACATAACTGATTTTTAAAATCAATTACATTATTAACATTAAAATAATTTGACATGGAATATAATTATAAGTAAATTGTTGATTGGTAGTAATCAAAAAAGTATAAAAAACCGAAAAGATATTATTTCGATTTTGTTTTGTTTTTAACTGTAAGTTTTTTAAAAATAAAAGGAGTCATGGGGTCAAAAATAATAGATTTTTACTTAATTCAAGATATATATAAAAATAAAGTAATTTCTCCCTAAGGAATGAAAAGTCATAAAATAATGAAATATTGAGAATCGTAACCATATCATGATATATCTAATCTGTGCTCAAAACTCTGTTATTGTCTCTGTTAGATATCATCATGACATTCGTATGATGACAACCGATAATCGTCGTTCGTATTTCTTTAATTTTTTTATTTTATTTTATTTTTTTATTTTATTTTATTTATTTAGAAAACCAACAGCGTTACATATAGTTTACAACAGTTTGCGTGAATTACAGAGATTAAGGCTAATAATAGGCTTCCCTTATTTTCTGATTATGTAAACATGCGAACGGACTTAATTAATTAATTAATTAACTTAACAAAATAAGATTAATAACAAAAAATGATTAACTTAATCGGTTAGTCAATTACAAAGACTTAGATTTTGAAATAATGATTCAAGATACGGAGTCGGTGTCCTGGGTGCTTTTATTAATACATTTAATAATAATAATATAATAATAATCAATTTTATTTCAGACTTAGTCCATATTTGTTAGTAACAATGTTCTTAATCTAGTGTTAGTAAAAATACACACAACAATCAGAGACAATAATAACATACAAATATATAAATGAGTAATTAGTTAGTAACAATATTCTTAGCCTAGTGTTAGTAAGATACATAGATATACATATATACTTGTGATTATGTCAGGCACTTGCTCTCACGTGTAGGCCTATCCAGTGCGCCATCAGCACCGAATCCCAGCGTCCGGCACACGCGGCCAGCATGCCGCTAGGGCTGCCGCGCACTCGCGACATCATCGATGCACAGCGCTTACGCCAGATGGCATGGAAGCCATCCACATGCGCCTCCGCGAACATGCCACTCGCACTACAGTAACGCGGCAGCCCCATCAACACCCTGAACGCGTTGTTGTACTGAACCCGGAGGGCGTTGTACGTCCCCTGCGTGTATTTAGCCCACAAACTGCATGTGTAAAATGTTTGGCAGAATGCCCTAAATAGTGTTACTTTCACTTCTTGGGCACAACGAGCGAACCTTCGAGCCAACATATTACAGCGGACACACAACGCCCTACGTTCTCTCGCAATGTCCATATCGTCCTTCAGGTCATCGGTAACCCAGTGGCCCAGATACTTGAAATGTGCTACTCGGTTTAAAGGCGTACCATAGAGTGAAACAGGTGGTATGTCTGAGAGATTCTTTTTTAATGCCTTAAAAACCATAACCTCACTCTTCTTTACGTTGTATCTGAGCCCATGAGCCTCCGCATACCTTTCACACGTACGAAGCAGCCGTCGCAACGCGCCGATTGATGGGCTGAGCAGCACCATGTCATCCGCATAACTAATATTATTTACGCAAACGCCATCTATGTGACATCCAACTCCTGTGCTGCTCAGCTCTCCAATCAAGCGATCCATGTACAAGTTAAAAAGTTTAGGCGAGGTCAGCCCCCCCTGCCTCACCCCGCACTCCAACCTGTACTCGTTCGATGTACTATCACCCCATCTAATAGTATTTTTCTGATTGTTATACCAATACTGGAATATTGATATAACCTCAGGACACAAACTAGTGTCTTGTCGCATCTTTTCCCACATTAGATCGTAAGAGACCATATCAAATGCCCGTGAGAGATCCAGAAAACAAGCGTATACAGGCGTCCTCCGTGCGGTATAGTAGTGAACGGTTTGCTTGAGACACATGATAGCACTTTCTGTAGATAGACCAGCCCGAAAACCAAACTGGCCATCATGTAGGTTTATATGTCTATTTAGATGGTTATCAAGCAGACCGTCCATCACCTTTGCTATAACCGTTGCCAACGAGATAGGCCTATAGTTTGACTCATCCGAGATGTCACCAGTTTTATTTTTTACAATAGGAACAACGATGGTAAACATGAGATCGTCGGGCAGGTAGGAGTGGCTGATACAAAGATTAAATAGCAAAGCCAAAACCCTCGGCAAATGTACCCCGGCATACCTCAGGTGCTCAATGCTGAGGCCATCATGTCCTGGTGACTTTCCTCTTTTGAAGGATTTTATAACTGCACTTACATCCTTCGCAGTGAATCTCAAATTAATATCATGTGATGTAGTCCCAGCACTGGACACCGACGGCAGGCCAGATCGTGCAGGCCTCAAAAACGGTTCAACCCTAAAATGCTGTCGAAACAACTTCGCAATATCACCCGCATCATTTACCCCTCCAACGCTCACGGGCCGGCTCGGTTTAAGATTAAGTCTGTTTGTTGCCTTCCAAAATTTTGAGAACTTATTATCAGAATGGTGTCGCGCTATCATATCCATTTTAATTTTATGTTGATTATTTTGACACCATTTTAATTTTGCCTTAAATAATCGCCTTGAGTTCGTCATCTCATTGAATAACCATCCAGAACTAGGTTTCCCATACAATACCCAATTCTGATAACAATGCCGAGCTTTTCCGTGTGCATCTTTCACGTGTCTGTTCCACCCAATCATGTGCTTACCCTTACCCGGCTTTGAGGCCACCCGATATGAGTACTCCGCGCCCGCTATCAATATACTTACAATAGTTTTATACATACCATTAATTACTGTTTTGTGATTCATACTGGTACACATCCTATCACAACAAGCAACACAATCCGCTGGAAAGTCAATGTCTCTCAACTTGTCATGACAAAATTTGTGGTAACTTTCAATTTGACAGTCTTGCCTCTCTCCCCAAACTACCTTACTTTCACAAATATGTTTAACAATAATTTTAGATTTTATTAAATTCAAATTACAAGTTAACTGTATAGGATAATGATCGGACCAGTATGTATCGTACAGTATAGTCACGCGATCGACAGTCTCACGTGCGGCGCTCGAGACCACGCAGTGATCGAGCCACCGGCGACATCCGTGCGCCTCACTGACAAAAGTATGTGAATCACATGGCAACATGTCAAGATCAACACATACCCATAACTGTTCTGCACAAAAGTCTATAAGTTGGTTAGCAAATAACTCACCCGGGTGCGCGTTGAAATCCCCCAACACATACACAGATTCCACGTCACTATTCTCAACAATTGAATTTATTTCGCCGAGGCACTCCGTGAACTCGATCAAATTGTCTTTTGAATCCGTAGGCATGTACACAGACACAATCAGCATGGAACACACACCAATGTCAACCCTAATCGTCGCCACACGATCACTATTGCACTGCAACACTGTAACTGAGGGAAACACAGATGATGTGTTCTTTAAATTTAGGTTTAGCACAACTGAATAGATCTATTTCGGCGAAGTTATTATTGTGTGTTCGGGCAATGCGAGTCAGTACACAATTTTTTGCATATTTAGTCGAGCGCCGAGG